GTGTGCAGATATACATGGAAGCAGAATGTTGTATGCATAAATAAATAAATAAATAAAATCTTTTTTAAAAAATGGCTGCAACATTCTTGCCTCCTCACAGCAGTCAAGTTCTCATCAATCTGCCTTCGTAGTCAATGCTTATTTCCAGGAACCTATTTCTCGCCATTGAGAAACCTACTAGATGCTTCCCTCATTGTTGTGAGCAGAGACCTGAGCAAAGGGGTTTATATCGGCACACGCTCTAAGAAAGGATACGGACCATCATGGAGGCATAAGCATGAGCAGTAGGTAGGCCGTGGGGCATCCCTAGTGACCCATGTCCTCCAGCAAGGGTCTGCCACCTGCTAAAGGTTTCATAACCATACAGAACACCACCACCAGCTTTGGACCCAAGGGTTCAAACACATGACAAGGGACAGTTCACATTCAAGATACTGTAGAAGGAAACTTTCTCCATCTATCTTGGTCCCACTGGACCAGTTTCTCTCCACCCACGGTGGGGGGGGGGCAGGGATCCCCGCAGCCTCTTATAAGATAACCACTCAGACTCAATATATATCTATAATTGTTTGACCAATGGCTTAGGCTTCTTACTGGCTAGCTCTCTATTAATTTGTAGATCACCACGTGGCCTTGTCTCACGGGCAGTGCCCTGGCGTTTTAGCTCCCCTAAGGCTACATAGCATCTCCTCGACCCTGACTCCTACCTTTCTGTCTCCCTGTTCAGATTTCCTCCCTGGCTTTACTCTGTTCAGCCATTTGCCAAAACGCCTTTATTCATCAACTGATAAGAGAAACACATAGGTGCAGCATACGAAAGGACATCCCCCATCAAGACACAATTTACTAAAGTAAGAATATATGTAAAGCTCCTGGAGCCTGACCGTAATACAGATTCAAGACATGTTAGTGGTTATTATTGTTCATTGAGCAACGAGAGTTTAAGAACTGAGCTGGGGACTCTCGTTCAGTTGCCTGGGGCTTGCTTGGACTCCCTACCTGTGGACCTTTTATTTGATACCTTTAACTCTGAAATGCACTGGGTCCTGCCATAATTCTCCTTCAAAAGAAATGGCATTAAAGGTACAATTAGAAGAGCAACTAGGGCTGGGTGGTGGCGGCGCACACCTTTAGTCCCAGCACTCAGGAGGCAGAGACTGGTGGAACTCTCTGAGTTCAAGGCCAGCCTGGTCTGCAGAATGAGTTCCGGGACAAGTTCCAAAGCTTCGGAGAGACCCTGTCTCAAAAAACCAAACAAACAAAAAGAGCAATGAGGAGCAGGGAAGTTAAAGCATTTGGTGAGCAAGATGACTGGGCTTCAGATCCCCAGAACCATGGGGATCGTGCCAAGTGGGCAAGAAGGCTCCCCTGTAATTCTGGCCTCAGAAGGTAGAGCCAGATCACACCAGTAAGGTCTGGGCATGGCTAATAAGAGACTCTGACTTAATGAACACTTGGTCTAAGTACAGACACAAGGAGAAGGGGAAGGAGTAGGAGGAGCATTTAAGGAATAAAATATTTTCCCTTCATAACATATATCAAAGTAGAGATCTAGATAAACGCATATAAAGAGAGCAGCCCTAAGACGGCTCAGCACTGGCCAGCAAGCCGGACAACCTGAGTTGGATCCCCAGGATTCACGTGGTGCAAGGGGAAAACCAACTCCTGCCAAATCACCCATGTGCATGTGCGCTTAACTTGCGCTAAAGAAATAACTTTGACTTTAAAGATCATTTACTTGTGTATTTGTTTCTACATGCACAGATAGAGACAGCTCGTCTCTCTCAGCACCCCATTCAGACAGCCTCCTAGAAACAGAAGGAGGGTGAGGAAAGTCTGAAGGAGGCTTCTCGGGACACAGGGGACAGAAGGAGAGGCAGAGGAGGAGCCGAATCTCGTGGCTACGAGAGGCACCCAGCCAACGACCACATCCTGAGAAATCATACTTGGCCAATGCCAAGTGTGACAGCAGAGTCATTCTCCACCCACACGAAGAAAGAAGAAAGCGTGTGTGGCTCACCCAGCCTGCACTTCCCAAACCTGCCCCCCTTGTTTTCATTATATGGTGCTAGCCAGCCTTTTCCTCGCATTATTCTGAGAAGCCCCTCCTTCCTTCTAAGAGGCAACAGAGCACCGAAAACGCAGACTACAGAGCCAGCCCACCCCTCTAGTTGCAGTGGGCAGTGTGCTGGACCTTAATGTGTCTCAATTCTCATCTGTAGAAAGGACGTGACGACAGCAGGGTCTGTGAGGGCACTTGTCAGGAAGGGTGACTGGGTTGGTGCATTCTGTGGTAAGATGCATTTATGTTATATGACTCAGAGTCATTTCATAGAAGCATCTATTATTATTCATGAGGTCCAAATTGTGTTCTCTGCTTGGTCTTATGGGCCTGAGAAAAGACAGCCAGCCCATGACCCCCACCTCGCTGGTCAAGTAGTGTTTAAACCAGCGGTATCACCCAGATCATCAGAAAACATTTTTCTTTAAAGCTTAAACCAAATTTATGTCTAGGGAGCTAAAAAGTTGCCAGCTCTTACCTGAAAGTCATCAGGGGAAACAATGCTTGGAAAGGGGCTATATGATCCAGTTGGGAGCCAATACTTTAAAAAAATTCAGCTGGGCAGTGGTGGCACACACCTTTAACCCCAGCACTCAGGAGGCAGA